GAGGAAGCTTTCCGACACGAGAATCGCTCGGCATCCAGAAAGGAGGAGAGACCCAAGTCCAAGCCGCAGTAATTCAAAAACGAAAACGGCAGCGGCTGCTCGTGCTCGGACCCAATTCCAATTCCAACAGCACGATCTCCTCCACCTCACCCCGAATCCTGCAAATATACGCACGCACGCAGCCGACCTCCCTCCCTCCCTCCCAACCCCGGCAAGCGGATCGCATCACACGCCGTTCCACAACACCGGCTCGCTCGCTCGCTCCTCGCTCTACCCGATCACTGAGCCCCGCCAACCATTTCACCCTGGTCCCAAGAACATTAGTCTGTGCTAGTATCATCAACACGCCGGGCAGCTGGCGTGGTGAAATGCGCGGGCTGATGAGTGGCGGCTGGGGTTTGACCGGTCAAAGCGGTCAAAGGGATGGGGTGGAGATCGAATGAGGATTTTCGCAGGGGAGCACGCACATGCCGTCGCCCATGGGGAACCTAAGAATGTCGTTTGATTAAGCGGATCGAGCTAGGAGGATAACGCCGCAAAATAATACTCCTTCCGTCCAAAAATACTTGTCATCAAAATGAATAAAAGGAGATGTATCTAGATGTATTTTAGTTCTAGATACACCTCTTTTTGTCCATTTTGATGACAAGTTTTTTCGGACGGAGGGAGTACTAATAAGCGGTGAGTAAACCTCGCGAGCGCGCGTGCATCCAAGCGGGGCGGGAGTACGTGCACTGTGCAATGTGTATGTGGACGGGCCAATCCGATTCCGATGGATGGGGTCGCCGTGTCTGACAAGAGACTGGTAAACAGCAAGCCGATGAAGCTCCTGGTCCCATTTTTTTTTTCTATTTAGGATTCCTGGTCCAGGATTTGATAGTACCGTGGCGCTATCGAGTTGCACTTTTTTTTTTCAGCACAGCCTGGTCGCTCTTCTCGGCGCGCCCAACCCAACGCGTTGATGGGCTCGTCGCAGCTCCGCTGGCCCATGCACTTCTCAAACCCGGGCCTCCTCCTCGATTTGATCGGCCGAATGCTAGTTTTTTAAATATATTGTGCATTTTCTGCTTTGGGGACGATCCATGCGGGCCTTGCAATTTTGTTTCCAATTGTATTTTACTTTGTCTGTCCCAAACATCTAGGCAGTACGTGTACATTGCACTGTATTTGTATTTTGGCCCGAAAGTGCGAGCATTAAGAAAGATCTTGCCAGCCAAAACTGATGCGTGCAAGAGAAGTATGCAGCTGATCAACTGAGGCAAGTGGCGCTGAAGTCGCACGAAGTCAAAGCCAGCGCGCGCTCGTGGGGTTGCATGCATGACACAGAAGCATTACATTCCCGGATAAAAATGCTTGGATCGAAGGTATGGGAGTGCAGGAGGTTTTATGGTCAAGCAAAAACCCGAAGACCTCTACCTACGTGTAACACGATCGATCGGGAAACCCTAGTGGGCCAGCTAGTGGACAAGATAAAAAATGCTCCACTGATGCACACATGAATGGCATTCATGGGTTCCTTTTTTCCATGTCACGTGAACTGCCGCGTCCATGAGATGAGATGAGATGAGATGAGTGGAAAGCAAACTAGCAAAGAGTCACGGCGCCGAAAGCCCATGCCCGGGGAACCCTTCTCCTGAGCACCCGGCCATAACCTGCACCGGGATGGAGCAACGGTGCGACTACACATGAGAGCATGGGCTCGTGCCTGCCCCGATCCATACGCCCCCGTGCACGCATGGTTCCTTCCCGCCACATGCACCCGCCTCATCATCTCAAACTCCACTCTCCGTCAGACCTGCGTCATGCATGCACACACAAAAATACATCATCCATCATATATTAGTAGCCAAAGCCCCCGATGAAATAGCCTCTATGCCTATACATATACTCCTTTCATGTAGATGTAGGGATATGATGTAGCTTTCGGAAAGCAAATTTTGTTTTCCGACGAATTGAAAACAAATTGACTCCGGGAAACAGGCATTGGTTGGGCAATAGTGATCCCTTGCATTAGGCGCCAAATCCCTCCTTTCGTGGATCAGTTGGCGACCGATGCACCAAGAAGACCACTAGGCATTGCATGCATGCACAAAGGAGCATTAGCAGTACTGTTTAAGGAAAAGAGCGTGGCCTAATGATGTGTTGCCACCGTCAAGCTAGGCCATGGGGAGGACATTTGGAATCTTGATCGGTGTTTCTTTTCCCGGACATTCTCCTAAAAAGGCCTAATATAAGCTAGCTAGGCCAGCAAGGTCCAACGACGCACAACCATTTCTCTCAGCCTATCACCCCGCTTCTCTTTTTCTTGCATTCTCTGCTTTTGTTGATAGTAATAGTATCTCCTAGAGGACCCACAGTGTCTAGTGCATCTTGCAAAGTGATACCCCAACTCACATTTGCAAGCAAACTCCTTCTCACGTATGTATGATTAAATTTGACTGACGTGCACATGCGACAAATACATGTTCTATACTAGCAATCACGCATGTCGAATTCATGCATTGACAAATGTAAATTAAGCCACACATGCACGCACACATATTCCTTGTTTGTTGTAATGAAAGAATTGAACCTCGACCCGTGGCAGAGATTGAGCATAATTCAAGAAGGGGCCTTGACTTGAAGGAAAACAAAATTCACAAGGAGGAAGGGGCTAATCTTTAGTTTAACACTTGTTGGGCCTAAAGTACTAAAGCAACTATGCATATAGTACATCTCAGCAAATTTACGATTTCTTAGAAAAATAAAAACAACTAGCAAATTTAGTTTTGCAACAACAAATAGTTCACAAATCTATCCATGAAACGAATATCAAGCAAGATAAAATACGATGTAAACCTTCAAAGTGAACCCACTGAATCTTTTACTGGGCCGTGCAGTTTTGGGGGATTGGTAGCATGCCGGTAAGAGGATGAAAGAACACGTTGCGAGGTAGGTGTACTTTGCGGATTAACGCGTGTGATATGTAATGCGCATCTAGGAGGCGGGGATGGTCATGGAATAAAACATGAAGGTGAAACTTGGGTTGTTAATAAAAAAACAATAATGCAATTACTATAGAAATTATTTCCAGATGGTTGAGATAGAAGGTATCCATCTCAACAATCTCACATTTTTTTTATTGGTATAGGTTTGTTACTAGCTACCCCGTTTCCAGTTTGTTAGGCCCACATGTAAGAGTATACAATTAGAAACTTCAAATGTTACATTTTCTAAAGGTATCAATTCTTGTATATACAATTCATATTACATTTGTAAATGATGACCTAGAGTTACGTGCATAACCTATAAACCAAAAACAATAACCCTACACCTACGTACCCATCTCCGTAAACTTATTTAAACTTCCTAATCTACTTCTCTCCCCCTCCCCCTTCCCCTGAATTTCATGGGTGGCCCCCGGCCATTTCCCTTCCAATCAAATGACCCCAAACCAGTTTTCACGTAGCTTCACGTAGCATAATTACATAGGTATAGCAAAGCCCAACAGAAAATAATGAAGTACATAGTGAGATATTAATTCAGATTGTGACACTGTATTGTCCACCCCATCGAAGCGAG